GGTTTGGATATTTTGACCCACCATGGCAAGGTTAACTATTGGTCTAGCATGGAGAAAGGAAAAACAATGAAGAAAGAGTTTCTGTGAGCTCAAGGACAGTAGGCACAGCTCTACATAAAGCAACAGACGAAAGCTGAAGCCTTGCTCGGCATGATGGCACACATGCAATTTCAGCAATTGCAATCATGAGGCTGAAGCAGGAGAGTTTAGGCTACAGTTTGTCTCAGAAAAAGAGAGAGAGAGAGACCGAGAGAAAAGAGACAGAGAGACAGAGAGAAAGAAAAAGGGAGGGAAAGAGAGAAGGAGAAAGCTGGAGGAAAGGAAGAAAGTTCAAGCTTTATCATTGGTCACTCATTATTTGTGTGTATGTCAAGCTATATATCATCTCCTTAGGGAAATCTATGATCTAGGTCAGATTCCCTAACCACCTGTAAACAATACTCATTCTGCATTTTTTCTGTGGACGTTGACATTAATTACTCTACAAACACTAAACTGCACCTACTGGAATACCTTATGATAGTCCCTCTGCTGCAACTGACATTTCTGTGACTGCCCTCATGCTCCCAAAGAGTTGCGAATTAAACCAGCCTGCCTCTGAGTGAGAACCAGCCTTCCTCTGAGAAAAGTTCAAACAATGGTACACAACACACAAAGTCATTGCTTACCCAAGATGACAGTACCCAGAAGAAGCGATGCACTGAGATCTCTCACCACGGCAGTTCCCACACTGACTGAAAATACTTCTGCCTGCACATAAAGCCAGGCTCAAAGCCGACCACATATGTGCGTGCATTCTGAGACAGCTGCAAGAGGCACAAACAGGAACCTCTAAATCAAGGTTCTCCTTTCAGTCATTTGGCCCAGTACCCAATTTTTACTTATGTTTTCATTCTGAAAAAAAAATGTATGGTATTCAACTTACTGTACATCCCAGAGCTCTGTAGATATGGTCTTCCAATTTGGATGACAAACTTTTTATATACAAGATCTTGAATGGCATTAGGCAAACATTGGCTGAGAAAGAAATCAACTGCATGCAAGCACAACTACAGTAATTCAAAGATTGGCACAAAACATTTGGCACTGTGTTCAAGATATAGCAACCTCTCCCTACCCCCACCCCCAATACAGAGATATGGTACAGGCAATCATCCAAGGCCTATTTTGAAAGATGTGAATGTCTGCCCAGTCTTCCAACTGTAGACATCCTATGACCATGACCATATCAGCATTTCTAGTAGACAGGATTCTAGTTATTCTCCTAGAGAACCTAGGAGTTGGCTCATCCTAGATTAAAAACTCAAGCCAGGCGGTGGTGGCTCACGCCTGTAATCCTAGCTACTCAGGAGGCTGAGATCTAAGCATCACAGTTCAAAGCCAGCCAGGACAGGAAAGTCAGGTGAGACTCAGCTCCAATTAACCACCAGAAAACCAAAAATGGTGCTGTGGCTCAAGTGGTAGAGCATTGGCCTTAAGCTGAAGAGCTCAGGGAGAGTGCCCAGGCCCAGAGTTCAAGCCCCATGACCAACCATTAAAAACAAAACAAAACAAAACAAAAACCTCATGGATTCTTCACTTTAAGATGTCTCTCAGTCTTTCTTAGTCACTACTTCAAAGTAAATGCTCTCAAGATTCTCACTTTAGGCCTTGGGTATGATTGTTTTAACCCAGGCCTTGGCATGCTCATTTTTTAAAAACTTGTCTGTAAAAGGAAAGAAATGTATATATCACCCGATGTGGAAGAAATAACTATTGTCAAAGCTCACAGAACTCATAAACTTTATAGACCACGATACAGACAATTGCCCCATAAAAGTTAGAATGTGTTTGTGACTTTAACTAAGTATCAATATCTCACAATACTGTGAATTTATGTAATCACTTAATCATAATTAAAAAATTGCTATTTAAAAAAACCTGTCTGTATCATTTGAAAAGCTTTTGTTCATTCTCCTCAATATTTCCACCATAGTGTGTTTCAAGCTAACCAACTCACAAAATTTCTAAAATTTAACTCTCAGCTCCTGCTGGGAGCTTCAGCACACTGAAAATCTATGCAAGTTTTTTCTTTTTCTGGGGTACAGCTCAAACTGTTTGCTCAGTGCTAAAAACCACAAAACCCCCTCTCTTTCACATGACACCTATCATTTATATAGAGAAATACACCAAAAGATAGTCAGGAAGGCGCAAAAAGTTTATTAACTATGTTGGAGCAAAATATACCAGGAGTTACAGTGTCTGTGCACAATTTATACCCTCCTACAAAAACAAAAAACAAAACAAAGACAACAGGCAATAAGATGCAGCAGGTAACAGTCTAATACTGGAGTCAAAGGAGCGAAGCCGCCCCTTGCAGCAGTAATGTTTTGAGTTGTACTATTAAATAACAGCCTTGGTGGATCTTACAGCGGCTCTTTAGAACCATAATGAGTGACACCGATGAACACTTACGATCAGAATTTTAGCCTCCATAATTTTTTTAAAGCACATGCAATCTGCCACCTTGAAGCACCAGTACTAGCAGAGAACTGAAGTGTTCTTCCAAGTGGCCTGAACTAACAGGCCAAAGGGCAAACACAAAGTACAAGTTCACATTTTGTGAAAGAATTAAGAAATAATGCATAAAACTCATCAGGTACGATAGGCCTAAGAACAGACTGGTGTAGTCAGAAAACATTTCTAAAAGGTCCCTTTTGAATTAGATTCTCTTTGTAGACAAGGCTGGTCTCTGAATGGTGTGATGTGAGCCCACAGACCAGCAAAAGAGGGGAGCATTTAGGAGAACATAGCACCTTAGAACAGTTTGTCAAAAAACAAAAAATACTTTTGCCTTCCTTCCATCCTTATAGAAGCAGGGGTCTACACATTTTGCTTTCCTTTAGAGAAAAAAAAATCTAAACCTTGATGTAAAAGGTGAAGAGGGAAGCAGAGGGCAGCCTACAACTGGCAGGGATGTAACCATGATCCCTTAGAGCAGACTGAATTACCAGTTCACTCTCTCACCATGAAGGACTCTACTGTTCTTTTAAGAAAGAAAGGACTGGTTCAGATCATGTTTAAGCCTAAAAAATAGCACATCTGAGTGTTCACTGAGCACAACAGACCTAAAGTGGCCACAATTCAAGCTGAATAAGTCTTCATAACATATTTGCAAGGAAATTATAAGACTTAATCAAAACTGGTTCTTCATTTAATGGGATGTGACTTCTAACTGGGTTTCTCCCGTCTCTCTCTCAGAGAAATGAAACACACAAGATGTTTTCCTTGCAAGCTGCTGTGTACTCTCCAAGAGCCCAAATTATTTATTTCTTGTTCAAATTGTTTCCTTCTTTCTGTTGAGACAATATAATTAGCAAGAGGCCCAAAAGATTGTAAAGTATAAGCATTAGAAATGTCAACTGCCAATTTTTCCTTTTTTTTTTTTTTTTTTGGTCAGCTCATGGAGCTTGAACTCGGCCTGGGCGCTGTCCCTCAGCTCTTCAGCTCATGGGGCCTGAATTCTGGGCCTGAGTGCTGTCCCTCAGATCTTCAGCTCAAGGCTAGCGCTCTACCACTTGAGCCACAGCGCCCACTTCTGGCTTTTTCTGTTTATGTGGTGCTGAGGAATCAAACCCAGGCCTCATTCATGCGAGGCAAGCACTCTACCACTGAGCCACCTTCCCAGCCCCTCAACTGCCAATTTCTTCGGGTCTCTTCCACAGAACCTACACAGACGTAAAGCACACTGTCTAGCAACTAACCAGTCTCTAGTTTATGGACTAGATTAACCAAAGGGCCCAGGCCAAACCTATGAAATAGAATTAATGCCTCAACATTCATAAAAATAAGATGGATTTGAAAAACAAATATGGAAACCTCCACCTAGGAAAGCACCATGGACAAAATGGACCATCTTTTTGGAAAAATGAAAGTGGGGGAAGGGATCATCTTTGCCTCTCTTGAGAAGTGAACCAGTCTATCACTCTACTAAGAGAACTGCTTGCATTTAACTGTCACTCCTTCCTAACACATCAGACATATGTCTTAGTGGCTTACAGAAAATCCAACATAAATTAATATTTGCATCAGGTTGCTGTAGAAGAATAGAGGAATGCAAGTATTGAGAGACTGGAGATGTATATGTTTCACCTGACCTCACTTTCTCATCTCCAATATTATGCAAAACAGCTTGCAAATACCATGGTTCACTCGAAACTAGTGCATTTCAAAAACTGAAAAAGATCTGAATAACAATATGTGAAAAAGTTTAATTATAAAGAACTACTAAAATATTCTATAAGTCCCCACGAAAAACCTCTTTAGCAGTTTCTTCTGGTCTCTAACCTGAAAAGTCATGAAGGAAACCACAAATTGGTCAGCTATAGGAAAATAAAGTAACTAAGATTACTTGGCTCAAACTGTAACCAGCAAGATAAAAGAAAAGACTTCCTCTATCTCACCATTTTTTTCTTTAACTTATAAATTAATGACACTTTATTTAATACTTTATTTATTTTTGCCAGTCCTGGGGCTTCTCAGGACCTGGGCACTGTTCCTGAGCTTCTTTTTGCTCAAGGCTAGCACTCTACTACTTTGAGCCACAGTGCCACTTCCAGCTTTTTCTGTTTATGTAGTACTGAAGAATCAAACCCAGGGCTTCATGCATGCTAGGCAAGCACTCTACCACTGATCCACATTCCCAGCTCCTATTTAATACTTTAAACTCCAGTAAACTATCAACTCTAAGGAAATTAGGGTGATAGACTCAAAGTAACCCAAATACAATTGCTGGTAAAATCATTAAACCAAGTAGCATATGCTGAATACTAAAACTGAAAATGTTTGTGGAGCATGAAACAAAGGATAGAGCTATTCCCCAAAGCATCTTATCCAGCAGCATATTATCAGGAAGCTATGGCTCCACTTAATTAAAAAAATTATTTTGGCATTAGCAGCATGGCAAACGTTGAGGATTCTCCTTCAAATAACTGGAAAAAAACATGTAATACATTCAAGAGTGAAGGTAAACCAAAAGTATCTTTCTATTCAGAAAAAGAATTTCTTCATTCAATCAGAGAACATAACATTAAAATTGAAAGTCATAAGTCTCTTCTGAAAGTTGTTGAGCAGTTTATAAATACAAAAGAACATTTTTTTTCAATAAATAAATGGTCCCTAAAGTCTTTACTGATGACTTCTAGAATCCTCCATCACTGCTGCCGGGGCCAGCTCCAGTCCCCTGAGAGGCGTTAGCGGCCAGGGCAATGGGACATCTTCTATCATTAGGAAATTCTTCTTACGTTATGCATTTCCTCAGTATGTCTCTTCATAGTCTGAATCCTGAGGGGAAGAACAGCAGCTTTGGTATTTATGTGAAATACAATGTCACAGTGAGAATTTAGGGAGAGGTTACATGTGTGGGAACCTGCCCTGGAATGACAACAGCAGGTGTGACTGACGACACACAAATGTGCATTCCCAGAGCAGCACAGAGAAGTATCCATTCTGCTTCTCTTCTCAACCCTGATGGAGTTTACTCCATTCAGAATAAAAGTCCTCTATAAGGGTCTATGAAATCTGTATGCTGCCGGTTCTCTCTGGGTTCAATAAATTATATTCTTGTCTCTCCCTTCTTTCCTGCTACACGATCTTTTTGCTGTTCCTAGGACTACACTGGCCCTGCCCCAGAGCTTTTGCACCTGCAATTTCCTCTTCCCAAAGTGCTCCTCTACAACAGCCACTGTCTTGCCATCCCCTTCTTTCAGGAGTTCATTCAAATATCATCCTACTGAGGGTGTCCCTAACCATTCTACTTTTTTCCATTTCATTTTTTTCTGTACCATTAAATATCACCCAATATACCATGTTTTTTCTTATTTAAAATTTTAGTCAGCATTTTAACCCTAATTATGAGTGACATTCCAGCTGGGTATCACAGGAGGAGAAAGAAATATTCAGGGGAAGAATATTAAGTAGAGGGAGTGAGCATGTAGCGGCCGCTCACGGCGGGGCTCCCGGGGCAGGCCACAGGGGCCACACGCGGCGACATGGAGGAGGAGGGCAAGAAGGGCAAGAAGGCTTGAGTAGTTGATAATGAACATTTTAAGGAGACTGGAAAAACCATGTGGGACAAGCTACCATTAAAGTGGAAGATGGGTTTTAATAAAATGTATCCTTTTCGAATAAATGCTTTATGGTATTAAAAAAAAGAATATTAAGTAGTTCTTTGAGGTCAGAAATTTTTATTAGTGGTGTTCACCAATACGTCCTAGAATGGAGCACCTAGCACACGCCATACACTCAACAAGTAAACTGTGAGTTAGTACCAGAAATGGGAGTAATAGCCACCCAAACATGAATTCATTTTGTGTTACTGAAACATTGAAACTCTGCAAAGTTGGTACTCCCTCTCCCCTGGACTGGCAATCATTTTCTCATCTTACCTATGATTGCATGGGAGTCAGAGAAACAGAGCCGCATGAGTAATCCAGCTGCACCACCTGCCAGTGCTGAGCCTGGCAGGAAGTGCAAAGGTGGCCCAGGTCTACCTCCAGCAATGATGGGTGTGTTCCACATTAGCTCACAGGTTGCTTTTGACCTGCTTCCAATTATACCACATCAGAGAGGCTTCCCCCAGCTTCCATCTCAGGACAGCCACACAAACCAATTAGTCAAAACAAGTTTTCAAAGAGGGAGGTGTGGGGGGGGAAATACAGCTTTTTGAGATTTAAATCAAAGCTGGGTTCTTTTCTTGGTGATAAAGACATCAAGTTGCCTAAGAGGTTACATCACTCTGACTCCCTGGGAAATACGAAGGCTTCGCAGAAAAGTTAAATTTGGGGTCCTGGGGCCAGTGAGTTGAAGGGCCACAGAATGAGTTCAGTGGTGTTGACATTCCTTTTTCAGGACTTGTCTGCAGTCTTCTTTCCAACCTGAGAGCACTATATTATGCCCATGGGGCAGAACACAAAATCATGCTGTGTACTATGGATTCCTGGAGACCAAAATGCTTTTGGGAAAGAAAGTTCAAACCTTCCTTGGACCTACCTGAAGATCCCTCATTGCCAGTGAGAGCAAAAAGAATCCCTCCAGTAGGAAGGAAAGCAAGACATCCTTTAGTAAATGGGGGAGAAATGACAGACTTACCAGACACTCAGCACAACGGACACAAAGTCTCGACATGCACGCGTCTTCCTCATCCTGGTCAGTGCTGTGGAAAGAGCACAAACCAAATCCCAATTGCTGTTATCCTTAGTATTGGGGATCAGCTAAAAGTTCAAGTATTTGAAATCATACAAGTTTGATTTTAGATCCAGTTCTTCCACTTTCTGGGTAACTGGACAAATCACTTCAACTCCAGGAGCCTGTTTCCTTATCTATAAAATGCAGATATGACCATATATCTTTAAGTATAGTTGTTAGAAGTACAAAACAAATACACATGAACATGAATCCCAGTTCCTGGTATATAGTAACCATTCCATGAATAGCAACTAATCATAAACATTCACTCATTCAAAACAGTACTGAGCACCAGTATTCTCAAGGCATTGTGCTAGGTTTTAGGGATTACAAAAGAAATAAAACCTGGTCTCTTAAAGAGCTTACAATTTCACAGGTGTCCAGGCCTACTATGAATTTAATAAAGACGGTATCATACATTGTGATAAATATTTTAGCAGAGTTAGAGTTGAGCTTCTGTGGCAGCAAAGGGTAGGGAGTGACTGATTCTCTCTTCAGGACTCAGGGAGTATCAAGATAAGGGGTGTCCTAGCTGGGTCTTACAAGATGAAAACTAGCCTCAGACAATGAAGAAAGGGAAATAGGACACTCCATGCAAGAGAACAGCCAGTAGGGGATAACAGTAAATAACAATAAATTTACATATGTGTATTTGTATATGCATATGTATATATACATATGGCTACAGCATATATGTACACACATTATGACTGTCATGTATCTATGAGGAAAAACAGTTCTCTCTAGCTAGATTGTAGGGTGAATGAGAACAAGCAGCACAGACACTAGTATTTGTACTTTATCATTTTGGGGCCAGAGATTCCTTGTAAGCACATTCTTTCTCCAGGAAATAAATGCACACACACGCACACACACACACACACACACACACACACACACACACACACACACACACACACACACACAGACTGAAGATTTTAGACCCTCTCAAGGTAATATCTTCCCTTCCCAGGCTAAGAACCTCTGATACAGACAGTGTAGAACTAATGGGTTTAATGTAGATATCTGTTGCTTTTGTTTTTTAGATTTTTTTTTTATGGAAAATACAGGCTCATGCCTATTCATTGGCAGAATGGAATTTAAAAAATGCTTTTGATAGCCTGGCGCAGGTGACTCACACATGTAATCTAATTACTCAGGAGGCTGAGATCTGAGGATCACAGTTTGAAGCCAGTCCAGGCAGGAAAGTCTATGAGACTTATCTCCAATAAACTACTCAGAAAAAGCCGGAAGTGGTGTTGTGACTCAGGGACAGAATCCAGGCCCTGAGTTCAAGCCCAAGGATCAGCAGAAAAAGAAAAAGAAATGCTTTTGATAACTATAAAGCAGATGACCAAGAATAGTTCTGGTTTATTTAAATTATCTTGCCCTTCATAGCTATTCTTTTCATGAATTTTTTCTGTACCAGTCCTAGGGCTTCAAGTCAGAGCTTGGGTGCTGTCCTTGAGCATTTTGCTCATGACTTTTTGAGATTTATTAGAGATAGAATTCTACAGATCTCCCTGCCCAGGCTGGCTTTGAAATGCAATCCTCAGATCTCAGACTCCTGAGTGGCTAGGATTATAGGTATGAGCCACCAGCACAAATCTATAGCTCTTCTTAAAGCCTCCTTTACTTCTCATGCATTTTCTGTCATACTTCAAAGATAATAAGATACAAAGAATAAGATACATACTTCAGAACTGTAGCAATGTCCAATCTTCTTACTAAAGCAGAGGTCTAGGACCAAACTGCCAACCCCTTCACTCTCTCCAAATCAATAGCCACATGTTTCCCATTCAAGCTTCCTTCTGGAAGTCCTCAGCAGGAGTATTCCATTTGAAAGGAAATTTCCCCAGAACTAATCTCAATCAGAGACAGATGTGTGTGGTGAATATGGAAGTCTGGGTGTGGCCCACAAAGCAAGGCTCTAACAAGAAATGTGCTGACCACTACAACTCTAGCAGGACTTACTCATCTGAAACTTCAATGGAAGACTTCTTCTTATAGCCAGACTTGCTCCTCTTCTTCATCCCTGCAGCCTTCCTCGACATTCTCACAAGCAGCAGAACAATAACTACTGCTGAGGGAATGAACACAAGAATAGAAAGAAGGGCCACAGAGGACAGCATGGTACCAAAACCTGGTTGGGGGAAAGGGGGACACAGAAACAAAGGTAAAAGGAAGGTGTGTCATCATGCTTGCTGTCACATGAAGTAAGTTCTACTTAGCTCTTATACTTCTGATTACAAAAGGAACAAATTCTTTGTAGAAAAGGTAAAATACACTAAAAGTGTACTGAAAGATACAAATGTACCCCTAATTCCACTACATAGATAACAGACTGATATTTGTTAATTCAAGGAGTACAAGAGTGCATATCGGGATAGACCGTCTATAATTATATACTAGTTTAACATGTGTACTTAACATATGATAAATATATTTCCATGTCATTAAAATCTCCTTTCAGATATGATGTTTAAGAGCGGTATTCTACAATAGTGAATAATTTATTAAATCAATTCTCTAATGGATATTCAAGTTGTTTCAATTTTTGTGAATCTGTAAGACATATTAAAACAACCATACTTATAATAAAGCTTTATATGTAGCTCTTTTACCTTAAGATAAATATTTTAAAGGGATTTTACTGAATCAAAGGGCATATGATTTAAAGTAATACGACTCCTACTACCAACCTACCCTTCAGAAAACTAATATTCATTTCTATTCTTTTTTTTTTTGGGTCCAGTCGTGGGGCCTGAACTCTGGGCCTGGGTGTTATCCCTCAGCTCTTCAGCTCAAGGCTAGCGCTCTACCACTTGAGCCACAGCACCACTTCCAGCTTTTTTTTTCTTTTTTTTTTTTGCTTATGTGGTGCTGAGGAATCAAACCCAGGGCCTCAGGCATGCAAGACAAGCGCTCTACCACTGAGCCACCTTCCCAGCCCCAATTCATTTCTATTCTTGCCAGAAGAATGACTGTGCCACATCTTTGAACCCTATGAGTATTGTCAAAAGAGATGAAGAAAAAATGATCAAGATACGACAAAACTAACAGGACTTAAGAAACAAAGAACTCCCACTCATCTGGTCGAAGCACTACTAAATATCCCCATGCTGCTGATCACATGTATGGTGTATATGTGTACACCGTTAAATGTTATAGACTGTGACAGACAATTTGCTCCAGGAAAGTTAGAATGAACTTGTGACTTTAAATGAGCATCATTATTCCACAATACTGTGAAATTCGGGAAATTATGTAATCACTTAATCACAATTAAAAAAAAAAAAAGATCCTCGGGGAAGGTAGGGAGGGAAGGGATAGTAGGGGGAAAACAATAGAGGGGGTAACAATGCTCAATAGGAAGTGTACTCATTACCTTACTCATGTAACTGTAACCCTCTGTATAGTATCTCTACAATAAAAAATAAAAAAATATTAAAAAAAGTAAAAATGATCAAGAAAGATAGAAGAAAAAAAGAGGAGGAAAGAGGGAGGAAGAGAGGAAAGAAAATATAGGAAAAGAAGAAAGAGAAGAAAGATGAAAGAAGGAAAGAAGGGAGGAAGGGAGGAAGGAAGGGTTTGGAAGGGAGGAAGGAAAGAAATGATTCATAATATACCTCTAAGTCTTTGGTTCAAATTCAATTACGAGCTAAAATGACCACTTAATAGTTACCAGGAAGAAATACAAAAAATAACAACAAAATCATTTCCAACTTCCTTTCTACCTGTTTTACACAGCATAAGAGAAGTATACTACCTCTCAGCATCAGAGGGAACAACCTTTCAAGCCATAGACAAGAAAACTCTCATAAGTGAGAGGATGCATTTATTAGGAAAAGTGGAATGACATCTATTTCAGAGACCTTTGGTCAACTGAAATTAAAATGAAAAGGGGATAAGGGAGAAAGAAATGATGACACTATTTGAAGATAACATTTAGTTTTCAAACTTTATCCTTCAAGAGACTATCAGCATGTCAGAAAAAAAAATCATTTGACACAAAGATCCAATGACTCAACTAGGGCACAAACTCAAATGGCTTTACAAAGGAGCCCTCCAGGCAGCGCCAGGGCAGTCAGCACAGAAGCAGCCTAGCCTAGTGGCAATGGGCTTACCCCTTTCTGTGATTGTTAGTTCCGTCAGGGGGATGTTATGGTGCACATCTGGGGGATTCTTCACAGCACAGCTGAATGTCCCATTGTCCTTCAGGGTAGGGTTGCTTATGCTTATGGATGCATCCCCTTTGTATACGTTTCCAGCCCAGGAGATCCGATCCCGAAAAGTGCCTGCTGTGGTTGGGTACTGGAAAGACTGATAGTGAAAAATCTAAGAAAGCAACACCAAGAGAGGAAAAGTTACTTTAGAAAATATAATGCAACATAAACCTAAGCAGGTCTAAAGTAATGAACAACTGTGCTGAGGGTTGTTAGGTTTGAGAGTTGGGGCGGGGCAGGGGGGGATGTTTTGTTTTTTATCCTCCATGCTTCAGGTAGAAAGACAGGTTAGTAAAAGTGATCAGAAAGCCAGGTATGGTGAGGTACACCAGTAATTTCAGCACTTGGGTAGAGTGGGGGTAAGGCAGGAAGACCACAAGCTTGAGACTAGCCTGGACTACAAAGCAAACCACTGTCACAAAAACAGAAAAACAAACAAACAAAAAAAACAATCAAGGATAGGACTGGTGAGAGAATAAAGGATTCTTTTACGTGTGCGTGCACTGTTCCTAAGGCTTGAACTCAAGGTCTAGGTGCTGTCTCTGAGCTTTGTGCTCAAGGCTAGCACCCTACCACTTGAGTCAGAGCTCTGCTTCTCTCTCTGTGTGTGTGTGTGTGTGTGTGTGTGTGTGTGTGTGTGTGTGTGCGCGCGCGCGCGCACGGGTATTTAACTGGAGATAAGAGTCTCATGGATTTTACTGCCCATGCTGGCTTTGAACCATGATCCTTAGATCTTGACCTCCTAAGAAGCAAGGATTACAGATGTGAGCCACTGGCACCCAAAATAATCCAGGAATATTATGTGGAATCTCTTCTCAATTCTCTCTTATACTCTGAAATAACATCTGTCAACCAGGAGCAATTTTGCTCTCCTGAAACTATTTGGCAGATTTTTTTTTCATTTGAAAATTTTATTTTTAGTTGAAAAATAAAACATGCATATTTATAGAATAAAATATGATTTATTTTGAAGTACTGGGAACTGAACCCAGGGCCTTATACCTCACTTTTATTTGTTCATTTGCTTACTTATTTAGAGGCACCTCCACACTATTTCTCAAAATGGCTGGACTAACCTACATTTACTCCAACAGTGCACCAGGTTCCCTTTTCTCCAATCCTTATTATAATTTCTCCTTTTTATAATAGCCTTCTGCAAGTGGAATTGATACTTCTTGTTGACTAGAAATATTAATTGTCTTGCATACACTTGTTGACCATTAATAGTTCTTTGGGGAAATATCTGCTCAGCTCCTTTGCTATTGAATTAGAGACATTTTTGGTGTCACAACTGACTTGGTAGAGGCCAAGGATGCTGCTGAACTTCCCACAAGGCATAAAACAGCCCACCACAAAGATCATCTGACTATAAATGTAAACAGGTCAAAGGTGAGAGAACCTTTGCTCTTAGGTAACATCTTCTGTTCATATAGCACTTTACAGTTTTCAAATAACGTCCCCATATTTACTCACTCATAACACTAAGTTGTACATAGTAGGTATAACTACCTAAAGGGAAATGAGACCCAAAACACAAACTTAAGTGAGTAAAGCTGGGCATGGTGGTTCATGCCAATAATCACATCCCTCAGGAGAATGAGGCAGGCCTGGGCTATGCAGTAAGTTTAAGGTTAGCCTGAGATACACAGTAAGGCACTGTCTGAAAAAAAAATTTTTTTTAAATTATTCCAAGGTACACAACTGGTATGTGACAAAGGGGAAATTTTTGTTTATTCTCAAAATCATTAGAATGGAAAAATATAATCTAGCCCCCCTCAAGTTATCTATCCTGCCAGTTAATACTCAATGACTGTATGTCAAATTAGAACAATGCTGCTTCACACTTCATCAACAAAAACACCTAAATGTACCTGGAGATAGACCAGGCAGGTAGCTACAAAATAACACAATTTAGCTGAGCGCCGGTGGTTCATGCCTATCATCCTAGCTACTCAAGAGGCTGAGATCTGAGGATCACGGTTCAAAGCCAGCCCGGACAGGAAAGTCCGTGAGATTCATATCTCCAATAAACCACTAGAAAACCGGAAGTGGCGCTGTGGCTCAAGCAGTAGAGCACTCGCCTTGAGCTGAAGAGCTGAGGGACAGTGCCCAAGCAAGCCCAGAGTTCAAGCCCCATAGCCAAAAAAAAAAAACCACAATTTTTCTTTATTATGCAAGATCCAAGGCTTCTCTCTCTTTGTTTACTTGGTACATTCTCTCTTATGAAACCAACATTTCTAGCCACTGAATTGCCCAATTTGAAGAACTATTTTACAGAAAAGATGCTGAATCACTGACTAGTTAATTATCTCATGCATTCACTCAACAAATATTTAGTGCACACCTACTATGTTTTAGGTACTGTGTTGAGCAAAAGGATATACAGGAGCCACACAGGCATAGGCCCCACTCTCATGGAGTTTACATTCTAGTACTAAATAATGATATTAAGAAATAGTATGTGTGATGAGGCCTACTTGTTGATTAGCAGCATCAGGATAAAAGAATTTAAAAGGTTGGAAACTCATAATTGACAAAAGGCATACTACTCATTTTCTAGATTAATTTAGCCCATAAATTCCATGTTAAATTGTTGATATTCACACCCTTGCAATTGATTTATTTGCTAGAATCCTGACTAACCAGGTAACTGGAACCTTACGTCATGACTTTAAAGAGCCTTTCTGGTGAGTTTGCTGATTTTCAGACCAGGCTCAGAGGACAGTATTATTAGAGAACTACTATTTACATGCAAAGTGTGTGTGTGTGTGTGTGTGTGTGTGTGTGTGTGTGTGTGTGTGTGTGTGACAGAGAGAGAGAGAAAGAGAGAGAGAGAATACATCCCCTGCTCCTGTGAGTTTGAACTTAGTGTGTAGGCACAAAGCCTCACTCTTGCCCAGCTGGCTTCCTTGGCTTCCTTGCTTGACTGGCATTCTACCATTTGAGCCATTCCTCCAGTCTGGCTTTTTGCTAGTTGCTTTTATTTTGGGTGCCAATCCTGGGGTTTGAGGACCTGGGCACTGTCCCTGAGCTTCTTTTGTGCAAGGCTAGCGCGCTGCCACTTGAGCTGCACTCCACTTCCACCTTTTTTTATTTTGGGTGCCAATCCTGGGGTTTGAGGGCCTGCGCACTGTCCCTGAGCTTCTTTTGTGCAAGGCTAGCGCGCTGCCACCTGAGCTGCACTCCACTTCCACCTTTTTTGGTAGTTTTATTGGAGGCACTAGTGTCATGGACTTTCTTGCCTGGGCCGGTTTTGAACCACAATCCTGATTATTAAGTAGCTAGGATCATAGGTGGCTGGTTGTTCTTAAGTCTAGCAGTTTTGGTGTCTCACTTGCCACTACTCACTATCCCCTGGATCTCAGCCTGCTGAGTAGCTGAGTAGCTAAGATTACAGGAACCAGTAGCACCAGGTTGTATGTAGGATTTGTAACCTAAAAAGCTCCCCAGTGTTTGTTCTGTCCTACTTTTGGCTAAGGAAACACAGCTAAATAAGGTCAGCCATAGTTTCCTAACTACTCAGAATAAAGCAAACTATTTTAAATCTGCAAAAATAGGAAACATAACTACAGCCTCACACCCTTCACTACAGTCACCTACCTTGCACCAATTTAATGGCCCCTAAAACAGAATTGAAAGGTCAGACACTAAAGTGAAAGAGATTTTTTTTCCAGAAAAGGAAAAGAAAATAAATTAATTGACTACTTTCAAAAATTCAATCTTACATATGGCTTTGACATTCACATTCTTGGATGGCATCTGTCCTGAACTAAGGAAAATACTGCTGGAGTCATAAGGAAAAAGGTTTGTTTGTTTTTGGTTTGGGTTTTCTTTTGTTCTGCTTTTTGGTACTAGTTCTGGGGCTTGAACTTAGGGCCTGGACTCTGTTCTTGAGCTTCTGTGCTCAAGGCCAGCACTCTGGCCACAGCCACAGCTCCACTTGTGGCTTTATTTTTTGGTAGTTAATTAGGGGTAAGTTTCATGAGCTTTCCTGCCTGGGCTGGCTTCAACTCAGGATCCTCAGATCTTAGCCTCCTGAGTAGCTAGGATTTACAAGCATGAGCCATTGGCACGCAGCAAAGGTCTTGTTCTTTTTTTTTCATATAGCATTGTAACCTTCAATTCAACGAACACTAACATTTAAACCATAAATGTGTTTTATATGTGTGACTAAAGTATATTGTTTCTAACACTGCAAGATTATCTGTACTAACATCTGTAACCAACACAAAGTACTCCCATTTCCTTTAAAGGCAGCTGTATAAATCACTGCAGATGTTTACATGCTGGGAGAAGCAGCCAAGGTAAATCTGCAGAGCATAGATAATACAAACAGATACACCTACTGAGACAACTTTCAATGACAAATTATGAGCACTTTTAAGAGAAAGGATGAGGTGGGCTCTGGTGGCTCATGCCTGTAAACCTAGCTTACTCAGGAGGCTGAGATCTGAGGATCAATGTTCAAAGCCAGCCCAGGCAGGAAAGTCCATGAGACTCATCTCCAAATTAACCACCAAAAACTGGAATTGGGGCTTGTGGCTCAAAGTTAAGAGACAGAGCCCAGGCCCTGAGTTTAAGCCTCACAACTGACCAAAAAGAAAAAAGAAAAGAAAAAGAATGTCTGTGATTGGTGCCTATAGAAGTTTTTCTAGCCAACAGTATTAGAGATATCCTTTTTAGTATATCAAATCTGAAGATGAATCTGTAACACCATGCAAAAGGAAACAACAAGGGGGAAACAAAAATAAACCACACTTCCTTTATGCTTTTGACAATTTTCTTTCCTGCAGGTTATATGAAAAAATATTTATTTATTTAGTTAGTTAGTTAATTAGCTAGTTAGTTAGTTGGTGATAGGGTTTGAACTCGGGGCTTGGGCTCTGTCCCTGAGCTTTTCTGCTCAATGCTAGCAACTCTACCACTTTGAGCCACAATTCCACTTCCTACTTTCTGATGGTTAACTAGGAATAAGAGTCTCACAGACTTTCCTGCCTGCTTCAAACCAGGATGCTCAGATCTCAGCTAGGATTACAGGCATGAGCAGCCAGCTCCTGGCACATATGTCAGATTCTTATAGGGAAGAATAAAAAAGGCCCTGAGTGGTCAAATGAATGTCACACAGGGAAGAAGCTCGTATTCTTCCATAGAAGCTCATCTGTTCAAAGGCAGTACCATGTGGGCCTATGACTTGCAATACAAGTATTTCCAAACTATAGAACCAGAGGACGGGACTGGGGATGTAGCTTAGTGGTAGAGTGCTTGCCTAGAATGCATAAAGCCCTGAGTTTGATTCCTCAGTAGCACATAAACAGAAAAAGCTGGAAGTGGTGCTGTGGCTCAAGCGGTAGAGCGCTTGCCTTGAGCAAAAGAAGCTCAGGACAGTTCCCAGGCCCTGAGTTCAAGCCCCAGCACTGGCAAAACAAAAACAAAAACAAAACAAAAACAAAACAGAGGACTCATGGAAATATCCTGCAGTTACTTACAGATTCTGTGCGACTGCTGCTGGGAGGACGGTATGTCCAGTCTATGGTCAGTTTGTCAGTGACATCTGAAGATGACTTGAAGGTACATCTCAACTTGACCTTTTCTCCAACATAACCTCGGATGTGGGCATCTGCACTAATCTCCAAGGAAAGCACAGTATGCATACCTAATCAAAGCAAGCCCAAACACTTAAAATGTGTTGATTCCAGGGAGACATGCAGGTCTGGGTAAAGAATATAGACATGCTGGTTATCATGTTTAGAGCCTTCACCAAAAAGCCAGGTGATCAATCTCCTCTCAGGCAAGCCCACAAGTAACAAGGGGCTGATACTGGCAGCGATCCAGGGTAGCGCTTTTATCACTTTGCCATCTTAAATCACAGACTGAACATGCAGTAAAAACTGAAAATCTGGTCATACCAGCACTTTTTCAGGCACAGGCTTGTAGCTAAATGAAGTACAAAGAAGCAGGCTGCCCACAGAGGCCTAATGCCAACAATGCCCATTGCTTACTTTCACCTCTGTCCCAGACTCCCACATGCTCCAGGAATAGGGCAGCATTTGCAGGTCTAAGCAACTGAGCCCAAGTACAACGGGGCCGCAGCATAGAGCGCCAGCAAAGTGAAAATAGAACACATAAATTACAGAATTTTTAAAAACTGATCTAAGGTTTATCTATTTTTCTCCCTTTTTTTTTTTTTTTTTGCCGGTCATGGGGCCTGAACTCTGGGCCTGGGTGCTGTCCCTCAGCTCTTCAGCTCAAGGCTAGCGCTCTACCACTAGAGCCACAGCGCCACTTCCGGCTTTTTCTGTTTATGTGGTGCTGAGGAATCGAACCCAGGGCCTCATGCTTGCAAGGCATGCACTCTACCGCTGAGCTACCTTCCCAGCCCCTTTTTCTCCCTTTCTTAAAGGTGGTAAACTAGAGCCTGGCGCTAGTGGCTCATGCCTGTAATCCTAGCTGCTTAGGAGGCTGAGATCTGAGGATCACAGTTCAAAGCCAGCTTGGGAAGGAAAGTCCGTGAGACTCTTATCTCCAATAAAAAACCACTAGAAAATTGGAAGTGGCACTGTGGCCTCAAGTGGTAGAGCATGCCGCCTTGAGCTAAAGAGAACAGGGACAGCTCCCAAGCCCAGAGTTCAACCCCCATGACCAACCCCCCCCCCCAAAAAAAAAAAAAGTAAACTAGAGAGGAAAAGAACAAAAAATTGAATGTTCTCTACATTGTAAAAATCGGATTATCATTTTCAAACCCTCCAGAGAATGGTCTTTACAAACCATTCATGTCCAATACTCCATTGTCCCCAAAAGTTGACATTTTTTTCCTGAACAATCCCTTCTGCTTTCAGAAAACAGTTAATAGATATTTGTTTTCAACCAGGAGTCATATTTCAAAATTTTAAGTTGCTAGCAATTTGTATTTTTTACTTCCTTATCCACCTCAGTAAGTAACCATTCTTCTGGTCACCAAAAGCAAACAGAACATCAAGATTTCATAAAACAGCAAAACCACATCCTGTTCTGGAAAAACAAAAAACACTCCTCCCTCTGGTAGAGGCAGGATGGTGTAGTGATTGAGTATACAAACAACAAAGCCAGTGGGCCCAGGTTCAAATCCCAGCCCTCCCTATTACTTACTGGCTCTGCAGCCTTAACAAGTCAATTCTTCAGCCTCTCATCTTTATGAGAATATAATGCTTACCCCAGAAGGTTGGTGTGAGGATTAAATGGTAAGTACAACACTGGGAAGCCTACCAAAAAAACCAATGTGCACATCATCATCATCATCAATCACTACCATTATTTGCTCTTCCAACCTTTCCTACCACAGTTCTGAGTCATTAATTTTACAGACTGTACTTACTATTGTCTACCTTAAATCATTTTTCTCACTCTTCTCTAGACAATCTAGTCTGGGCACATTCCTTCTAAAAGACCAAGACTGAGTTCACTAATAAGAACTTCAGTTAAGAACTTGCCCCCTCCAGCCAGGCGCCGGTGGCTCACGCCTGTAATCCTAGCTACTCAGGACGCAGAGATCTGAGGATCTCCGTTCAAAGCCAGCCTGGGCAGGAAAGTCCATGAAACTCTTATCTCCAATAAACCACCAGAACACCGGAAGTGGCGCTGTAGCTCAAGTGGTAGAGCACTAGCCTTGAGCTGAAGAGCTAAGGGACAGCGCCCAGGCCCAGAGTTCAAGCCCCATGACCGACCAAAAAAAAAAAAAAAATTAGTAGTACATGCTTAACATGGCACCTAGAATATTTTAATACTAGTTCTCATTATTAAAATAAATACTATACATATCCAAAACCCTTCAATAATTCCCTATTGGCCAATTAGATAAAATTCAAAGTGCAGCAATCTGGCTTCAAACTTCTCACTCTACCACCTATCCATCTCATCCCTTTCACCAAGCCTGGAACGTTCAGTCATTTCCCAAATGTCCCAGTACTTTTCTTTGTGTCTTCTCTAGAAGATGCTCTATATCCCCCCCCACCTGCCCACACCACTCCTGCCTGAGTTGTTTCCCACCTTATCACACCTCCAGTATCACACACCTTTGAAATACCAGTCATGTTGGGGATGCCTTCCCAGATTCCCTGATGAAATTGATCATCCTTTCTTTAATGTTCCTCTGACAGTTAATCTGTAACAGTACTGAAGCACAAATGCTACAGGTTCAGTTTACAAAGGCATGAAATGAAATGCCTCCAGGACAAAAATCCAGAGCCAAGGGAGCAGGCAGAGAGCCTCAAAGTAGTGGTGCATTACCACAAATTCTAGTACAGAAAAAGTAAAAGTACTTATTAGTCTCATACCCACTCCCTATGACCTCTACAGTATTTTCAACACTTTTGGGTGGTTTTATTCATTGGTCTCTTTGTTTGGCAGTGTTGAAGATAGAACCCTATATGCATGGCAAGGGCTCTCCCACTAAGCTATAACCCCACCCCTATTTTTTAACACTCTTAAATTCCCTATGTTTCTATCCCCACTCCTATTTTTTAACACTCTTAAATTCCCTGTTTCTATCTTTCCACTACATCCATCCAGAAGGGCTCAGCTTGGTAACCACTTTCTAGATTGAGCTTTGTATACTTTTGAAGGAGGAAAAAAAAAAAATCACACAATTGCACTGAAAGTTACATTAGGGAAAGCAAGATGTCAAGAATGATTCCCAGGTTTCTGACTTGCTAATGACATTCACACAGAGAGGAAAAGCCAGGAAAGTATCAGGTGTGGCAAGAAACATCACTTTTTTTTTATCTTCAAGATAACTAAGGGATAATGTCAAAGAACAGCTGGTTTAGGGTAAGGGTAAAAGTCAGCAGTCTTATGGCCCATGAGCCAAAGGGAAGCAAATGGCTTTCACGAGAGGAAAACAAACTAAAGGTAAATGGCAACACACTCTACTTCCAGCTCACCTGATAAACAGCTAAAAAGATTTTCAACACATTTATGTAAACAAAGTTTTACTATGTCTTATTCATTTATTTTTTAATTGTCCATGCTCCTTTTGCATGTTTCACAGAACTGAGCAGCTGCTACACACACATACACACAAACACACATTAGCTACACACATGAAAAAAGTAAAATGTATAAGATTTGATGGAATCTCTGGTGTATCATTTCTACATACTTCTGCAACTCACACAGGAGGACCAGTGTTATAGATTTAAATAAGCTAATAAGTGAGGCTCTATTTTTGAAGAGGGAAGCAAATAAACACTGCTGTGAAGCCAAAGTTTATTGCCTAACAGATTCAAAAGATAAAACATAAACACATACACAGAAGAAATGCTGGAAACATGCTAAATGAAATGTGCCAGTCATAAAAGAGCACATTGTAATGGTTCCCTATATGTTAAATGCCCAGAATAGTAAGTAAATAATATAAAACAAATTGGTGGTTCCCAGGGCTCAGAGGTGGAAATAAGTATGGGATTTGAATTGTACATCCAAATGAGTCAATTGTCCAGCATGTAATTTGTCACTAAACCTGTTATTTTTTAGAAGAATATATATTCAACAAGTACAAGATCACAAAATTAACATTTAATGTTTTAAATTATTTAATCTGCTGGCTTTTTTGTTTTTTTGGCCAGTTGTGGGGCTTGAACTCAGGGCCTGGGTGCTGTCTGTCAGCCCTTCAGCTCAAGGCCAGTTCTCTACCACTTGAGCCACAGTGTCACTTCATTTTCTAGTGGTTTATTGGAGAAGTGTCTCACACTTTCTTGCCTGTGCTGGCTTTGAACTGCAATCTTCAGATGTCAGCCTCCTGAGTAGCTAGCATTGCAGGCGTGAGCCACCAGTGCTGGCATTGTCAGGAGTTCTTCAACATGAAATGACTTTAAGAAAAACTCATCAGGGCTGGGAAGGTGAGTCAGTGGTAGAGTGCTTGCCTTGCATGCATGAGGCCCTGGATTGGTTCCTGAGCACCACATAAGCAAAAAAAAAAAGCCGGAAGTGGCGCTGTGGCTCAAGTGGTAGAGCGCTAGCCTTGAGCTGAGGGACAGGGCCCAGGCCCAAGTTCAGGCCCCACGACCAGACCCCCCCCCAAAAAAAAGAAAAACTCATCATGCTAGGGATATATCTCTGCGGTAGCAAGTTTGCCAACATGTGCAAGGTTCTGGATTTGATCCCCAGCATCACAAAAGTAATTATAAAATGCAGTTTTATTATGATGGTTGCTATATTTTGAGTAATTACTGTTCCCCCGAGACGGGCAGGATAGCTTGACAGTAGAGCAATATTTACCTCAGTTTACACATACAGACAGACTCAGAAGAAAACATCTATAAGCTCTGGAATTTTTTTCTGGGACAATAATTGAACTTTTATTTTCAGTGTCTGTGAGGGGGGGGGGGTATATTAAATGACAGTAGGCTGGGCCTGAAAACTGGATTGCAAAAGAATTTAGCTGAAAAACTGGACACTTATGACACAGGCAGCTGGGTGGAACCAGGGAGTGTGCTGACAGCATGAAATTAGTCACCAGATAAATAAAAACTTCCTAGCCTTACCTGTTGAGAATACCTGAATTTTATTTATTTATTTTTGTCGGCTGTAGGGCTTGAACTCGGGGCCTGCACACTGTCCCTGGGCTTTTGTGCTCAAGGCTAGCGCTCTACCGGTTTGGGGGACAGCTCCACTCCTGATTTTCTGGTGGCTAACTGAAGATGAGTCTCAGACTTTCCTGCCTAGGCTACCTTTGCACAGGGATTCTCCGCTCGCTCCTTTCAGAAATCCCCGTCACTTACAGGGAAATTTTATGAAGTTAACAATTTACTCTAATGCTAACCATACCACCGATTTCCTAAGAACACGCACACACAATCCAGGAAATAATTGCACCCTAAACCGAAGGTGATCGGATTGAAACTTACGCCATCTGAAAATGGCATGAAAGCAAACACACCATCAAGCCGTCAGCTCTGTACCTGTGGCACTAAAGGGTCAATTTTAAAATATCCTTTCTTATATCTTAAAAAAGGGTGAGTGCCAAAGAGGTTGCTTTTCGTGAATCCTGCGCGTCCTGTGCGCTTGTGTGGTGAACTTCACAGCTCCCTCACAATCCCACACCCCGCGGGGCGCAGGCCGGCTGACTAGGCCTGCCTTTCTCCGCTTCCTAAGCAGGGTCAAGCCACAGCAAAGGGTCGGGCTGGCGGTCGGCCCTAGAGCGGCAAAACCTAGCAACACAAGGGAAATAAGACAACGAACGCCCGAGCAAACCCACGGCGGCCAGCCAGGGTCGGGCGTCCGGCCGGGCGCGCCGGGCCCTGACTACAGTTCCGGGCCGGGCCGCCCAGGCGCTCGGCTCGCGGCGAGCACCCTTCCCCCCGTCTGCCCTGCGTCCGCTCTCCCTCCCCCCGCCCTCCCGCTCCTTCCTTCCGGCCTTCCTTCCCGTCTTCCGTCCACTCTTCCTTCCCAGAAGCCGAGCGGGGGCTTTCCGCGGACCCCCCCCCCACACACCCGGAACCGGAAGAGCGACCATCTTCCGGACCCCCCCGACCGGAAGTGGGGCGGCCCGCGAGCGCACTCACCCCGGAGGAGTAGGACGCCCATGAGGGCCGAGAAGGCGCAGCCCCGGCCTCCCGCGGCTCCGCTCGGCGGCATCCCGGCTGCTCCTCAGGTACCTGCACACCTTGTTTACCGCTCGCTCCCAGGTGGGCCCCACGCACACTGGTGGCGCCGGAAGTGACGTCAGGGAGCGAGGCTGAGGGAACACCTAAAATGGCTCCTTCCCAAAATCTTTCCCTGGTTTCCCTGGCCCGTGCTTAGGACCTGCCTGCTGGCTTTTGCTTAACACTGAAGGAGGTCAGACTCTGGGGAAGCTTGTACTTTCATCTGTATTAGTATGCTAATTTTGATCCTGACTCTTGCAGGATTTTATACCTCCAGATCATTTAATTGAACCCTCAAAAGCCCCATAAATGTAGAGTTCATAGAGATCTCATTACATACTGGATCAGTCAATAGATCAATATGTATTAGACCTAATACATGTTTTTGTGCCTCATGTTTCTTTGGTTCCTTTCCTTTTAAATGTTGCAAATACAGTGTCCAGAATTAGGTGTTTACTAAATTGCTGTTGACTGTGATGATGGTTCAAGTCCTTACAGCACATATTAAGATGTAAAGGTAGTGGGGTTTGTGTTGCACCTTTACATTTTTTCAACTGCCAGCCCTTTACTAGACTTGAAAGTAGTTTCCCTCTCTTAACAGTAATGCAAGAATAGCAAATACAATCGTTGGTACTGTTCAGGAATCTTCAAACTAGCCAGGTGTAGTGCCTCTAATCTCAGCACTGATGGAGGCTTTAGCAGGACCATCACAGGTTTGAGGCCAGTACAGGCTCAAGTTCCACGTCAGCCTAAAAATGTTCCCCATCTAGATAGCTTTTTTTTGTTTTGTTTTGTTTTTGTCGGTCGTGGGGCTTGAACTCTGGGCCTGGGCGCTGTCCCTCAGCTCTTCAACTCAAGGCAAGCACTCTACCACTTGAGCTACAGCACCACACCATCTAGCTTTATGCTCAGTTCCCATCTAGCCAGAGCAATGTGAAAATTCTACGGAAACCCATATATTTTCATTTATCCAGCAAAAATCCATTACTGACTCCCAGGTGATCTCTAATAAAAAAGTTTTACTGAAGGTACAATATCCCCGTTTTTTGTTTTTGTTTTTTTGTCAGTCGTGGGGCTTGAACTCTGGGCCTGGGCGCTGTCCCTCAGCTCTTCAGCTCAAGGCGAGCGCTCTACCACTTGAGCTACAGCGCCACTTCCGGTTTTCTGGTGGTTTATTGGAGATAGGAGTCTCACGGTCTTTCCTGCCCGGGCTGGCTTTGAACCGTGATCCTCAGATCTCAGCCTCCTGAGTAGCTAGGATTACAGGCGTGAGCCACCAGCGCCCGGCATATATCCCCGTTTTTATTCTATCTGCTGTATAAAAACTTCAGATGTGTACATAAGGAAATAACTTTATTACTAATATTTTATTTACACAGTTTAAGGCATAAAAAATAAGTTACAATACAAAAGTGACCTTCAAAAGTAACCTTCAAGAACGAAACACTAAACAAGGGCATATTATCCTCTTCCGGCTTTAGCCAAGAAACAGCTACAGGAATGCTGGAAAAATTCTCCATGAGTTTTTCACTACTTTATTACACCGATGGAATATCATGCAGGTCATCTATTTGAAGAAATACCCAGTTTTACTTACATAGGTTGAATTATGAAGAAAAATATAAAAACGTGGATTAAAGGTAATACAGATTTCAGATTCAATTTTTAGCCTCAAAACTGAGCAGTGAAAGTTCACCTTTTTAGGCTGTATAAAAGCAGGAGTCAGGTATGGAATGGATCTCAGAATCATGGTACATATGTAAATTATGCCAAATTTTTAAAAATAATATTGGAAAAAATCAAGTTCTAACATCCTCAATCTATTTGAAAATATATTGATATAAAGGATACTGAGGTTTGGTAAAAGGAAATCCATATGCAACCCAGTCAATGCAAACAAAATATCAGGCTGTACAGATGAGACTTAATTCTATCCTTTGAACAAATGCTGCTACCCTGAAGTTTGGAATGGCATCAGGTAAATAGACTCTTTTTTAAAAAGCACGTGTTTCTCCAAAGCCCACTTATAAAGTTTACTATTTCTACAAATTTATGGGCAAAAGAATAGTTTTATTTGTTACAGTATTTTAGCAGTTTCTTTGCTCAATATCAAATTTTTACTCTTTTAAGCAACTAAATTACAACCAAAAGACATTTTAAGAAAAAAAAAAAAAGTAATCTCTTCCAGTAATGCTAGACAAAACTCAACCATTTGGGGCTGGTCTTTTTTCACCAGCCTTAAGTTTTTTTGTGTTACAGCATACTGGTTCACACTCCTAGTAAGCTGCTTATTCATTCCAGTCTGCAATGAGCACACAGTTCACTGTTTTGGTACAGATTCAATACTTGGGAGGTACATATTAATCTATACAGTCACTGCTTGTGAAAGACCTACATTGTAGATTGTAAATCTACATTGTGTTTTTCACAATATAGAAAAATGTGAAGAATTATTCATCCCGAGATAACATTTGCCAGTAATCATTGCCATAACCTTTTGTGTTATATCAACCAGTTATAAACCTTGGATTCATTGATGGCAATCACACAATAAAAACTAAAAAACTTTCTACCTGGAATACTGAAAGAAACCCAATAAAACAAGATATATTGAATACTTAGGAAAGCCATAAAAATCAAAATTAATGGTTTAAATTTTGGATTTACTGTCAATCAAAACCAAGAAGACATAGCTCACCTTTTAACTGAAATATGAGAAGGATAACAAATTCTAACTTTAGTAGCAAGAATGCTGCTGTAAAGAAACCAGTATGTAAAAGGAAACTGCAGATAAGTGGCTTTTATCCCCTTTTGATGCTAGTGTGTGTGCCCACAAAGTCATACTCCAGGAGTGTTTAAAGGCAAAAATGTAGCTTCTTAGTTTACAAACTAACACAAAACATTTGAAAAACTATGCACATTCTGAAATTAAATAAAATGTTCCTAATGAGTCTGTGTAAGTCTTGTCGTGTTTGTTCTAGAGCCCTGTGCTGCCTGCAGGGGGACATTGCTTATCAGGTGGGTATACACTGCAGAAATTGTAGGAAGACAGGCCATAACTGGAAAAGCCAAATGAAAATTTCCATTAACTTCAGGCAGTATTAACTGCAAGGAATGTTAGGATCCTTGTTCTTGGAATTCTTCAGCTTCCTGAAATATAAAAGTTTTAAATGGATTATATATTTAGGAAGACTACATAAGGAATACTTGGCATTATGGATTACATGATTAAATCTATTCTATTATTAAATCTATTCTCCATTGCCTAAGGAAAATATTCTTAAACTTATTCTCCTGTTTTAGTTTTTAATAAAAAACATCCTTGTCATGGGAAGGGATGGGAAGGGGAAACAAAGGAGGAGGCTACAATGCTTGATAAAAAAATGTACTCATTATCTTGCCCATGTAATTGTAACCCCTCTGTACAGTATTTTCACACACACAAAAAAAAAATCCTTGTCACATGGTTCCCAGATCAGTGCCCTTTATTTTATAGCCTCTGGGGATCTAGGAAGGACACTGGAATGATCCACAGTTCAGTTACCTGTATACATTCCATGCCTGCCCCTCCTCCTCCCAAGTAAATAAAAATCAAAGATTCAGAAAAGGAGAAAAGACAATATATGGAATTCTTCCATCACCTAATTTTTAAGGATTGTTTCTGCAAACGTTTTTAAGCAAATCACTGGTCCTTACAATTTCATGGTGCTTTTATGTTGCTGTTGTTTGTTTAGTTTCTTTGAGTAGGGGTTCCTGTATATAGCCTAGACTCACCTCACATTCATTATATAGGCCATGCTAGCCTTAAACTTGCATTGGTCCTCAGCCTCCCAAATGCTAGAATTACAGGCATGTTTCTCCATGCCCAGCCTTCCACTGTGCTTTTTTTATTTATTTATTTATTTATTTATTTTTTGGGGTCCGGTCGTGGAGCCTGAACTCTGGGCCTGGGCGCTGTCCCTCAGCTCTTCAGCTCAAGGCTAGCACTCTACCACTTGAGCCACAGCGCCACTTCCGGCTTTTTTCTTTTTTGCTTATGTGGTGCTGAGGAATCGAACCCAGGGCCTCAGGCATGCAAGGCAAGCACTCTACCACTGAGCCACTTTCCCAGCCCCCCACTGTGCTTTTTTTAAATAGAGACATTTTCCTATGTAATGAAAAATAAATCCCTAGAGTTATCCATATTCAATATTTCCATATTTAAAAGTTTCTCAATTACCCATCCAAATTTTTTTACATTTACTTTACTCCAACTTATGTCCATCCATTCAGGGATCATAAAGTGCATTTAATATTATCTTTTTTTTTTTAATCTGATAGCTTATTTCTTTTTCTGTTCAGAAGCTGGTGTTTACTAGGTAAGTGTTAAACAACTAACTTAAGCCATACACCCAACTTTTAATCTGACTTGTTAAGAGATTCTGCTTGATTTTTATTTTTTATTTTGGGGGGGGGGGGGTGTCCGGTTGTGGGGCCTGAACTCTGGGCCTGGGCACTGTCCCTCAGCTCTTCAGCTCAAGGCTAGCACTCTACCACGTGAGCCACAGCACCACTTCCAGCTTTTTTCTTTTTGCTTATGTGATGCTGAGGAATTGAACCCAGGGCCTCATGCATGCAAGACAAGTGCTCTACCACTGAGCCACCTTCCTAGCACCTCTGCTTGACTTTTTTTTTTTTTTTGCTACAAAAGCTTTATTTTCATTTGGTCCAAGTCTGCTTGACTTTTAAAAGACAATTATCTTCGGTAAGAAATCCAAATTTGGTTTTCTATTTTTATAAAATAGTCACTTTATATTAGGTTTTACAAATAAAATTGTAGCTTTAGCCTATAAAATGTGACTGTCGACTAATAAGTCCTCTCAATTAGAATGAGATTTTACAGACTAAAGTTATTAATAGCAAAAATATTCTTGTGTCATAAAGTCGTTTGTATTTACATCTAGAGATCAAATGTATTAGACATACTTCAGAGAATGGGAGAAATTCTGAGCATAGGAAAAATACTCCTATCTTTCCATTTAAGCATGGTAAACCAGAAAACTAGAAAGTCAGCTTTATCATAAGCGAACTAGATTTACAGTATAATAGCTAAATGAGGAATTGAAATAAATAGTACCAAAGTTCTTTTGTCAAAATGCCATGAGTATCTTATTATTTTGCTCTCTCAGTGTCATGACTAGGTTGCAGTATTGAAAAAGAGTAATCTCTTCATGTAAAAAAAAATTTTTTTTTTCTTTTTTTTTCCGGTCGTGGGGCCTGAACTCTGGGCCTGGGCGCTGTCCCTCAGCTCTTCAGCTCAAGGCTAGCACTCTACCACGTGAGCCACAGCGCCACTTCTGGCTTTTTTTTTCTTTTTGCTTATGTGGTGCTAAGGAATCGAACCCAGGGCCTCAGCGTGCAAGGCAAGCACTCTACCACTGAGCCACCTTCCCAGCCCTGTAAAAAAAATTTTTTAGCTGGTCATAGTAGCTACAATTTGCTCACACTTACAATCCTAGCTACTCAGGTGGCCTATAGTAGAAAGATACAGTTTTGAGGCCAGCCTGGGAAAAAAAAGTTCTTAGATTCCCCCATTTCAGCCAATGAAAAGCTGGGTTCAGTGGTTCATGTCTGTCACTGCAGTGTGTAGGACCCCTAAAAAGGATAGTCTTCACATAAGCAAGCCCATAAACGCCTTATCTGAAAAATAACTACTGCCAAAAGAGCTAAGGATGTTGTTCAAGTGGTAGAGTGTCTAGCAAGTTCAAGGCCCTGAGTTCAAATCTAATACTGCCCCCTAAAAAAATGATAGACACATTAAAAGTTTATTATTAATAATAAAATTATATTTTTTAAAGAATTTTATTGGTGTTAGTATATATAACCCCAAAGCTTCTAAAACCTTGAGAATTATCTCAGCTTTAGTGGCAAAGTCTAGTTTATTAATTCTTGGAGAAAGTACAGCAAAGGAAGATGTCATCATTTTATTAATAAGATACCCTGGCCACTGCCTCTAACTTCATTTAGGAAACAACTCATAGCCACATAAGTTAATCTGGGAGATGGCCCAGATAGGTCAAAAAGTGGAGGAAAGGAATCAACCCTTAGTGAAGCTTACCATCTAGGAATGTTAGTCTGTATCTTCTAAAAACACAGAGACCTTGTTTTCTTGGTTGAGCTTTTCTTCTTCTTTTCTGTAACAAAACAGAACCCAAATGTCAAGTGAATAGACAAGAAACAAAGTGGGGGAAGTGGTGCTGTGGCTCAAAGTGATTGAGTGCTAGCCTTGAACAAGACTGCAGGGACAGCACCCAGGCCCCAAGTTTAAGACCCACAGCCGACCAAGAAAGAAAAATAGGGGGAAATCCTATAGAAATACCAGGCAATGTGTTTTTTCCCCATATCTTGGGAAGAATTACACAAACCTGGGAGCGAAACAACTACTCATCCCCCATAACCAGTTAACACTCCTTGACCTGTCTTGGCCATCTGAACTTAAGATTCTTTTCAGAATGTCTGAGATCTGATTTTGGAAGTCTAGAAATTTATAGGACACACTTTACTTCAACATTGGTTATTTTGCCTCTCATTCCTATTCTTGTTCAGAATATGTTTTGTGTTGACTAGAAGTCTTCTTATTGTTTATATTCTATTCAAACTAGGATTCAGAGATGGGTTTCTTTTTTTGTTTTTTTCCTCTAATTTTTTTAAAATTGTCTTCGTAAAAGTGATATACAGAGGTGCTAAGTTGCACAAGTCAGGTAATGTGTACATTTCTTTTTGGACAATGTCACCCTTCCTTCGCTTTCTCCCAGTTTTCCCTCCTGTCCCCACTCACAAGTTGCATAGTTCATTTTCAACATGGTGTCCAGTGAGTACCACTGCTGCATTTGTTCACCCTTTGTCCCTCCATTTCTGTGTCCCGCCCCAACTTCCCAAAAACAGATAAATGAACAAACAAGACAAAAAGAAAAGAAAAACAACAGGCTGACTTCTAGGTAGCTTAAAGAGGAAACAGGAGCTCAGACTTTAGGCTCTTGACATTTTCTGAATTTTTGGCTTTTTCAAGACTGCAAATTTTCCTGGCCTTCTCAGGAGCAACTTCTCCACTGCCAATGGGCCTCTCAGACACCCTCAACCAAAGCCTGACCCCAAAATCTGTTCTAGTGGACGAGGAAGAGAATTCCCCAAGTGGACCAGAGCCAACTCCTCTTCTTCCAGAATCCTCAGCGTCCTTAATAACAGACCTTCAGAGGTTGACTCTGCACCCGTGGACCAGCCTCCTGTCTCCTCAGTCTGTTCAAGCCCAGGTCCTCAGCACCAGGAGAGAAAGGCTCTTACAGCCGGTAGATGCTGCCTTTCCTAATGCTGGGATCCAGAGAGTGTTATTGGAGCAGGAAAAAAATCTGGCCCACTTGAGATATGTCCTTAAAAACAGATCTTCACAAATTCAAGAGCTTCTAGAAGTCCCCACCATAGTGCTTCTGGAAACTCCACCCAGGTGCCCTCTCAGATGGCCCACAAGGACAACTCCATGTGTGGTGGTCCACCATCCTCACCATCCTCTCAGAATTCTCATAAAGCATGGTGGCAGTATGTCACAGCTTTGTGCTCAGCAAGCTCCCTGACCTTGTACCCCTCAACAGGCCAGAAATGCTGGCCCAGAGCAACAGAGATGGATTGACCTTAAGGCAGAGGAGTCGAAAGCTGGCAAACTGGAGATCTTCTCCAACTAAAAAAATGCCATTCCAATGTACCTGCAGCTTCTGCTTGACTAATGATAGGGACCCTTCAGAAAATGCAAGATTAGGGGCTAATAATGGCAAAGAGTCCTAGTAAATGACAGGTGTCAATCACTTGATAATTAAATATAACCTATTGTCAAAGCTCCTGGATGCTACAAGACACTGATTTTATATGCCAAGAATTTTGAAGATCCTGTGTGTCCTGTGATTTGGTTTTCTAGCTTTTTGAGTTTTTTTTCCTTTCTTTTTTGAAAATTTTTATTGTTATTATGAAGATGATATACAGAGGGGCTACATTTATAAGTCAGGTAGAGAGTACACTTCTTTTTGGACCATGTCACCCCTTCCCTTCCCTCGCTCTCTCCTGTCCCCATCCACAAGGTTTTTTTTTTGTTTTTTTTTTTTGGAGGGGTCCCGTCGTGGGGCCTGAACTCTGGGCCTGGGCGCTGTCCCTCAGCTCTTCAGCTCAAGGTTAGCACTCTACCACTTGAGCCACAGCACCACTTCTGGCTTTTTTCTTATGTGGTGCTGAGGAATCAAACCCAGGGCCTCGAGCATGCAAGGCAAGTGCTCTACCCCTGAGCCACCTTCCCAGCCCCAAGTTTTTTGTTTTTTATTTGGTCCTGTGGATATCTCTTCCTACTTCAATGCCAATAATTTGTTTTCTAAAGTCTAGGAGAGGTGAAGTCGTTATTTGAAGACGTAAACCATACTGATTTAGGTGTTGGGTAATGAATAGAAAAGATGACTGACATTTTCTGGTTGTCAAGTATTTGAGCTCTAATAAATGGAGATTTTGATGCATTAGTGTAAATAGTAGTAAATAAATGTGCATATAAGGAACTTGTCCCTTGTTTCTATTTTCTGGAGTTCATTTCAATAAATATCGTTTTATATGACCAGAAGTACTGCACCTTTGTGTTCCCCTTCTAGGAGTATCCTCCTTTAGGAGGTTGGTTTCTTAAACTCTTTAAATTGATTAAATTTATTTCAGTAAATATTTACTGGTGCCAGCACAGCTATATACCCAGAAAAAGAAGTAATCTTTCCATTTAAGAAAGAATTGGAACTCTTACCTCAACAACAGACAAATCTAATTCAAGGCAGGGATGGGAGGGAGAAATTGGGGGGAAGCAAAAGGAGGGGTAACATCCAAAAAGCAGTGTATTCACTATTTGACTTATGAAACTATAACCTCTCTGTACACCTTAATAATAACATAGAATTGTATTTTTCTTAAATTCAAAATGGATCAAAACCCTGACTGTAAGAACTAAAACTATATATCTCTTAGAAGAAAATGTATAACATTCATGATATTGGATTAGGCACAAAAGAGCCAGCAACAAAAGAAACAGATTAAGTTGGACTTAAAACATAAGACTTGTGCCTTAAAGGACATTGAACAAAAGAAGTAAAAAACAGAATGGGAAAACCAATTATAAATCATATATTTGATAAGGGATTGGTATTGAAAATACATAAAAAACTCAACTAAACAATAAAAACACATTAACCAACCCAGTTATAAGGCAAGCAGGCTCTGAATAGTTCTGCGGGTAAGCTATACAAAGAGCCACAAACAGGAAGCTCAGCATTATCCATCATTATGAAAACGAAAATTAAAACTTCAGATACTACTTCATATCCACTAGATGGCTTTAATTAAAAAAAAAATGTTTTAAGACAATAACCAGGTTTAGTGAGGGTATGGAGAAGTTAGAATTCCCATACATTGCTGACAGGGATGTAAAATATAACTGTTTGGGGAAGCAGTCTGGCTATTATTCCTCCAAAAAATGAGACAATTACTGTAAGACTCAAAAGAGTTGAAAACAGGTCTACACAAAAACTTGTAGGTGTCTATTGATAGCAGCATTAGTTATATAGCCAAAGAGAAGGGGGAAAAAAAACCCTAAATGCCCATCAGTTGACAAATAGATAAATAATATGTAGTAAGCATACTCGTTACACTGGAAGATTATGCAGCCATTAAGTATTAATGAGACAGATGCTGGTGGCTCACATCTGTAATCCTAGTTACTCAGGAGGCTGAGATCTGAGGATGGCAATTCTAAGCAAGCCCAGGCAGGGAAGTCTATGAGACTCCTCTCCAATAAAGAATAAAAAGCTAGAAGTGGAACTGTGGCTTAAGTGGTAAAACTAGCCTTGACCAAAAGAAGCATAAGGACAGCACCCAAGCCCTGAGTTCAAGCCCCAGGACTGGCACACAAACACACAAAAAAGTATTGTTGAAGTACTAATACATACATTAATGAATGTTAAAAATATTAAATGAAAGAAGTTAAATATAATAGGCTACATATTTTATGATTCTAGTAACAGGACATGTCCAGGACAGGCAAGCTCCCATAGATAAGTGGGTCTGGGGCTGGTGAGAGAGGAGAACAGGGAGTAATAGCTAAAAGGAATGCAGTTTCTTGCAACGGTAGGGATTTTAGAAAAGTGAGCAGGTTAAAGGTTAACATTAAATGGTTGTTGCACAACTGCAAATTTTGTAGTATTTAAGTTTATCTCAATGTAGAAATGCTTTTTGAGCATTTCTCAATTGGCTATCGGCTTAGCAGATCACTAATACTTAGCCACCCTGCTGACTTCCTAGTCCTGTCTTTGGAAATGTGTATTTCACTTTAAAAGCAAGGGGTATTTTAGAAAAACTTGAAAAGCAAATTTTATAGCACCAAATCCCACATTGTAAAGAAAGTATACATTGAAATCTTTTGCAAAATTAAAAAACCTTTTGCAGAGTTACTCTTTACTCCTTAATTAATCTGTCCTGTGAATTAGCATTCTTTCACACAGGATTTACTCAAAGGGAAAAACATGTTCAACAATGTGGCCCCCCACACAATACCAAGAGTCACCATAAGAAAGTGTTAGACTTTCCCATCAGCGTACAGCCTTACAATTTTATCTCCATCACTCTATGAGCTCTCTCAGCCCGTCGCTTTTTCCGAAAGTGCTGGAAGAGGACGACCAGGATTACTATGATGATCATCAGCGCACAGGCACAGCCAATGGCCAGAGCCAGGAAATAGATCTCAGAGAAGGTCACTATAAGGGGGGAAAAAAGATCAGGTGATCAACTCAAGATTCCATAAAGAACTATGACGGTCAGGCACTGGTTGTTCATGCCTGTAATCCTAGCTACTCAGGAAGCTGAGATCTCAGGATCATTTTTCAAAGCCAGCCTGGGCAGGAAAGTCTGTGAGACTCTCATCTCCAACAAAAAAGCCCGAAGTGGAGCTGTAGCTCAAGTGGTAGACGACCAGCCTTAAGCAATGGAAACTCAAGGACAGCATCCAGGCACTGAGTTTGAGGCCAAGGACTGGCATGGCATGCATGCATGCACACACACGCACATGTGCATACGCCTACACGCACATGTGCATACGCCTACACACACACCACACACACAAAAAAGAACTATGATGAAATCTGAAGGCAAATAGCATACATCATTAAACGGAACCTTCCTTTTTCCTGCCTCTATGTATAAAATATCATGTTACCCTGTAAACTCTAGAACAGATAGCCCCACAGAACTGCTGCAGTGGATCTTAAAACATAATCCTAGGGATCAGCAATAGTAGCACTTGAAAACTGAAATGAAAAATCTCAGGTCCAGCTCTACTGGATTACAAATGGGGCCAGCAGCCTATGCTTCAACATGTCTTTCAGGTGACCAAGATGACACTAGAACTTAGAGAACCAGTGAGTCCGATGACTGCCTAGAAGGGCAATGTTATTACTAACTGAATCAGACCTAGTGCCCAGCCCATTTCTCCCTTATGTGCCATCTCTATCAGTCAGTGAGTCATTTACTCAGATTTATTAAGGGCCTACTATTTTCCAGGCACTGTGATAGCCAAGGAAAGCAAAACAAAAATTATTTTCAAGGAGTTCTTGTTCCTTAGGAAGATAAGTAAATCAGTAACTTCAGTCTAGGAAACAAGTAAACAAGGAACCCAGAGGGAAGAAGAGTCCCTAACTAGACTCAAGTCTATAAAACCTGCTTCTGTCCTTTCATTTGATTTCTGATTTGCTCTTCAATAAACGCTCAGAGGGCTGGGAAGGTGGCTCAGTGGTAGAGCGCTTGCCTTGCATGCATGAGGCCCTGAGTTCAATTCCTCAGCACCACATAAGCAGAAAAGGCTGGAAGTGGCACTGTGGCTCAAGTGGTAGTGTGCTGAGCTGAAGAGCTGAGGGACAGCGCCCAGGCCCAGAGTTCAGGCCCCACGACCAACAAAAAAATAAATCAATAAACACTCAGAGCCAGAAAAGATATTCGAGAATGTCAAGCCTAGGAGTTTCCAGCCTAGAATCTCCCCCAAGAAGGATGGAAAGAAGCCAGGTGCGTACACTCATAAAGCCAGCACTTGGGAAGGAGAGGCAGGTGGATCACATATTCAATGACAGCATCAGCTACAAAGCCAGACCCTATCTCAATAAAGGTGAGGAGGACAGAGAGTTGAGATGATCTATGAACCTACATACTCCCATGTCTCATTGGGTATACCTCCATTTTTGGGGGGGGGGTCCGTTTGTGGGGCCTGAACTCTGGCCTGGGCGCTGTCCCTCAGCTCTTCAGCTCAAGGCTAGCGCTCTACCACTTGAGCCACAGCGCCACTTCCGGCTTTTTTCTTTTTGCTTATGTGGTGCTGAGGAATCTAACCCAGGGCCTCAGGCGTGCAAGGCAAGCGCTCTACCACTGAGCCACCTTCCCAGCCCCTACCTCCATTTTTTGTGTGTGGGAAACAGGGCCATAGATACTCAATAGATTGTTTTCATTTGATTCTTAAGAAGTAGTAATTCCAATATGTTTAAGAACTATTCATTTCTTGTCTAACCCGTTCATCAAAAGAAATTTAGGTTGAGCTGGGCACTGGTGGCTCACATCTGTGATCCTAGATACTCAAGAGGCTGAGTTCTGAGGATCATGATTTAAAGCCAGACAGGGCAGGAAAGTCCCTGATACTCTTAAATAAACCACCAGAAAACTAGACATGGTGCTGTGGTTCAATGGTAGGGCATTAGCCTTGAGCTGAAGAGCTCAGGGACAGTGCCCTGAGTTCAAGCCACATGACCGAAAAAAGAAAAGAAACTGAGGTCGAAAGTACATTACTTCCAGAATTTCAATCAGTTCTCCAGATTGCACTGCTTTCTATTGGTAGGGACTTGAGAAGATTGTTTCAATCCGTACTATGAATGAAAGGAGGAGGCCATGCCACTTGACAGGCTCCAACCTTTGGAGTGGTGTGTAAGGGTTACCCGCCACCCACTTGGGAGACTGCAACAGGAGGATTACAAGTCCAAGACCAGGTCCTGTTTTGGCATTATTAACTTTCAAACTTTCTTGAAGCTTTAGATTCCTCCTTTGTAAGACAGAGACGACAATATCCATTTCTGAAGTTCTTATTAAAAAGCAAAGCCAAAAAACAGTTCACATATATTGTTGGTAAAAATGGAAAACAACATGATCAACAGCGTGAAGAGATCTGTAGCGAATCAGTAAAATGTGTCCTGACACGTGGGAAGTGCCCACCATTTGTGCCTGCCCTCGGGCGGCATCGGGTTAAATGAGATAGTACTGGCCAAGCACTGCAGACCCTGCCGGCCCAGAGCAGGTAGACAGGGAATCAACAGGCCAATTGTCAGTCGTTTATCAGAGCTGCTTCCTCTCCGTCTCGGAGGAGCTCAAGGCTGTTTTTGTCACAGAATCCTCCAGATCCCTTCTCTCTCCCAACAAAGCCTTGCTCTTCTCCTGCCAGGTCTCTCCGGCCGCCTCGGCAGGGCAGCTCCCAAGCGCCAGCCCGCCCCAGGCTCGCAGACACCCGGGCCGCGGCCCCTGCGGCCCCCCAGCTCCCGCCCGGCCCACGCCACTCCCCCGGCGTGACCTACCCGTCTGCACAACGCTGAGCCGGATGGTCCCCACCAGCCCATCCACATCGGGTGGGTTCTTCACCTGGCAGGTGTAGGTGCCATTGTCATCAAACTGCAGCTTCCACAGCATAATGGAGGCGTCATACCGCTCGGGGTTCCCGACCCAGACCACCCGGTCCTTGAACCGCCCGTTCTTGGGTGTGAAGGGATCCAAGTGGTAGTAGAATACCTAGGGAGGCGGGAGGCGGCGCTGGGCGCGGGGACGGAAGGGGCCCGCCGGACCCCGCCGGACCCCTTCTCCCTAGCCCCGTCTTCTCCGAGCTCCGCACGGGTCTCCCCCGAAACACCCCAAGTTACCGACTTACGAACTGCTCGGGGCCCCCATCCCGAGGCCGGAAGTTCCACGTCACGGTCAGCGCGTCGCCCACCGGCGCGAAGCTGGAGAAGGTGCACTTGAGCCGCAGGTCGGTGCCGTTGACCGCCTCCAGCGCCCCGGACGTGTAGATCTCCACCGCCGCCGCGGACCACAGCGCTGGGGCGAGGAGACCAGCGGTACCGGCCTGGCCTGGCCTCGTCCCGCCGGGCTCGCCCGCCCGCCCGCCCGCGGCGTGGCTCCCGCGTCCCCGGCCCCGCGCGGCGACGCCGCCCCGAGGTGCAGTCCAGACCCCAGAACTGCTGCGCGCGGAACTGGGGGACCGGGACCTGGAGCGCGGCCCAGCCCCGACTAGGCCGATCTCCCCGCAGAACTCCCCGGCCCCAGGCCGGGTCCCGCCACGGAGCCACCTGAGACCGGAGCGCAGTCCGGGGCAAGGCGCCCGGACGGCAGAGCGCGCCAAGTCCGGCCCGCTGGGCGGGGGCCGGGGGCCGGGGGCCGGGGGCCGGGCGGGGACCGGGGGCCGGGGGCCGGGGGCCGGGCGGGGCCGGGGCCGGGCCGGGCGCCCACCTGCGCTTACCTGAGAGCCGCACGCCCAGGAGGAGCAGCGCCGCACGCGTCGGGCCCGGGCCATACATGAGGGAAACCCAGCCCTGGCTCCGGAGCCAGACCGGGCGGACCGGAGCTCCAGCACCCCGCCAAGGCCGGGCCGGGGGCGCGGGGGCGCAGACCCCTCTTCCCGGGGACCGGTCGGGTCGCTCGCCGAGGGGGCCCGGAGCACGAGCCTGTGACTCACACCCGCGGCCCGCGTTCCCGACTGGACTGAAAGGTGGGGCTGCCCGGCTCGGCGCCCTCCCCACCCCGCCCCGCCCCGCCCCCCTCCCGCCTCCGCCCTCCCCGCAGGTCTGCACAAAGGTCCCAAACTCCAGCCCTCTCCGCAGCGGCTCCCGCCGGCCGGGCCCGGGGAGGCGGCGCCGGCCCCCGCCGCCCGCCGTAGGCCGGGTTTGGAGAGCGAATGTGGGCGCCCCTGGCCCCTCGGCCGCCTCCACCCAGATCCCCGCAACCCTCCAAAACCCGAGCGTGAGCCTGGGTTCGCCCCGGGGTAGGTGGATTTCCCGGAGGCCCGGCTGATCAGACCAGCGCCCAGCGCCGGGCTGGGACACCTTCTCTGGAGGAGTTTTCGGCGCGCCCTGCCTGCCTGCGCCTCCCCTCCATCCAAGCATTTCCAGAAATGCTCTCCACCGCGAATGCTCCGGGTTTGGCGTTGTGCAGGGAACAGGCAGCAAGCGGTTAAAGCCAGAACCTTCCTGACTCTCTTTCCACAAAATATCTGCCGGTATGGACAAGCAGAGGATTCCCGTATCCTTCACCTCTCCTGGGCCTCAGATGTCATCTGCCATGTCTAGGGCAGCCTTCTATTTGAGAGGTCAAAAAGGTCGAGGGATTTAAGTGAGAAAAGGGGCGTCTGGGAAGAGGCCTGGGTCAGAGCCCCAGCAGTGACAGGACAGGAGGGGAAGGGTGACCGGCCCTGATCCCTGGATTAGCCGGCTAGAACCTCTTTAGTGATTCATCCAGTACCTCAACTGAACCCTGGAACAGAGAAGGTGCCAGGAGGCAGAGCAAGGACCAGGCTGAGGAGAAGAATAAAACCTCAGGCTGGGGATGTAGTACAGTAATAAAGCTCATGTCTAGGATATATAAGGTCCTGGATTCAGTCTCCACTCCCCCCCCCCCCCCACACACACACACAAAAGAAAGTTTAAAGAAACAAATTCTACCAAAAGAGAAGACGAATATGGAATTGAAAATGAAGAGCATAAAAGAAAGATGATGTGATCATGCAGCAAAACCAGGTTGACACCAGCAAAGACCAGTTCTGTTAGAAGCCCAGGAGCTGCCTCAAATGGAAGTCGCTAAGTGCTAGAATGAACACGTTGCAATGAGTGTTTCTGAAAAAAGAGTGGCCCATTTGTCAGTTTCTAGGACTCTCTGTGCAACCTAAATTCAGAACACTGGAATGTTCAAGGAGCCTTTAAAATAATGGTAAGATCATCTTTCTGGGGCTGGAGGTATAGTTCAAGGTAGAACACCTGCCTAGCAACCTTAAGTTTAGTTGCCAGCAGTGCCAGAAAGAAAGAAGAAAGAAAAGAAAGATTAGCTGGCTCATGCTGTAAGCATGCCTTGGATGAAGGCTAATGGTTCAAGGCTAGCCTCAGTAGAAAAGTTTGTGAAATCCTATCTCAAAACTATCAAAAAGCAGATCTAGTATGGCTCAGGTGGTGCAACGCCTCTAGAACATGTCTTCCAGTACAAGGCCCTAAGTGCAAACATCTTGACAGAGGCAGGGGAGGGGGGAGAACACATTCTGAATACATTGTACGTTTCTGGTATATAGGTGAGAAGGAGGTGAACTCTAGAAACCTAGAAGAATAAATAAAGGAAACTTAATCTTTCAACTTTGCAGATAAATGCATCTCCAGAGGTAGAAATAGTAGAGCCTGGGGTTTTGAAGTCTGCAGCAAATCGTGAAAATTGGTGAGGTAGAGTTACACGGAGCTGAAGGATACAGTGAAACTCAGCAGGTGAAGAACCGGGGCAGGAAGAAATAGAACAGACTGCCTGTTGTTGAAGCAGAATTCTTCCCCAGTCGCCAGACTCCCTGAGAGTTGGCTGCAAGCCCTATTTTGAGAGAGACAGCTGCTCAGATCCCATTCCTCAGCCTAGGTCAAGTTCCTGGCTTTGTACTCAGCAACACCCAATTCCTTCCAGTTAGCAGGAGCGGCTCTGAGTCACTGTTCCCCACCCTGGATATGCAAGGAGGCAAGGGCTAAGAAAACGTGCTAAATAAAAAGACCACCACCTCCCAGCATTCCCCAAATGTCAAAACTGAAGGAATACAATCTTAAGGAGTGGTGGATGTCTAGGCAAATGAGAGAGAAAGAGAGACAGAGACAGAGAGAGACACAGAGAGAGAAGGTTTGGAGATAAAAAGAAGGGAAAAGTGCTGGGCTGATTGGCTCAAGCCTGTAGTCCTGGCTGCTTTGGAGGTAGAGATCTCAGACTGCGGTTCAAAGGAAACCCAGGCAAAAAGAAATTCGCAAGAGCAAGTGGCTGGCACAATGCAAGCACCAGTTGTCCCAGCGACACAAGGACTGGTGTTTTCCTCTCCTTTCCAATAGAGATGCCCAAGCTAGAGAATTACAGCCTAGGTAGGCCCAGACACAAAGCAAGACCCTACCTTGAAAATAACCAACTTAAAAAGGAGTTGGAGGCATGCCTCAAGTGGTAGAGTGCCCACCTAGCAAGCTCATGGCTTTGAGTTGTCTTCAGTACTGACAAAAAGGAGGAGGAGAAACGCTCAAGACATCATTTTTTTCCTTAAACTCCAGTAAAAACTCCCAACTCCATTTTTTGAGGTGCTGAACAGTTTAGGTTTTTATTGTATTTTTTATTACTATTATAAAGATGATGTACAGAGGGGTTACAGTTACATAAGTCAGTCCAACTCCAATTTTTAAAAATTGTCTTTTTCCACATCCTAAGTAAAAATACTTTTTTCACTACAAGATGAAATCAGCGTTCTGTGAAACAGACAAAAAAAAAAAAAAACATAATTTAGCTTTTAGGTAGTTCAGACAAAGCATTTGTTTACTCAAAAGTCCCTAAGTCCTATTAGGGAAAAAAAATACTAAATGATTGTTATATATTGGACTGCACATGCAAAAACAAGTCATTTCTTTTTCTTTTTTTTTTTTGGAGGGTCAGACATGGGGCTTGAACTCTGGGCCTGGGCACTGTCCCTCAGCTCTTCATCTCAAGGCTAGCACTCTACCACTTGAGCCACAGCACCACTTCTGGCTTTTTCTGTTTATATGGTGCTGAGGAATCAAACCAGGGCCTCATGCATGCGAGGCAAGCACTCTTCCACTGAGCCACCTTTCCATCCCAACAAGGCATTTCTTTACCTGGGAAGAATGCAGAGAGGAGGAAGGTATGTATTATCATCTTTTTGACTTTCCGATTTAAATTCCATCTTTAAATCATAAGTAGAAATTCTAAAAGGAGCAAAGAGAAACAAAGCTCCCCCCCCCCCTCCCCCCCCCCCTCCCGTGGGCAAGTGAATGGGAATTTAGCCCACACAGAGATCAGCACCAAGCCCTATAGCATTGGGAGGAGCAAGCAGGCCAGGTGAGAGGCTGGACATCGGTGGGCAATGCCTCCCTGGCCATTCAACTAATGTGGACTTTACCCTCAAAAACATCCCAGATGGCATAGTTAATATATAAGTTGATGGGGCACCGGTGAAGGCATGGAAATTCTCCGAACTTTCCCATGTGCTTTTCCCTATTTGTATCAATGGTCATATGTATAATAAAACCTGTAGGAGTGTGTGTGTGTGTGTGTGTGTGTGTGTGTGTGTGTGTGTGTGTGTGTGTGTGTGTGTGGACTTTCTTCCTCCATGAGGCAGTTCCATCTAGCATTTTCTACTCTTATTTCTATAACAGGAAAGAACAGTCACTGTCCTAGAGTGAGGAAAAGAAGGGTGGAGCAGATTCTTGAAGAGAGAGGAGCTCAAACTAGAACAAGAGAGAAAACTGGCCAAACTCTTAAGACGCAGAGATCAAGTAGCATAACCATGGTTACCTTGCTAGTGACCCGGTCAGATTCAAAACCAGGCCTGCCAGACTCACAAGTCAGCTTCACAGTCAACGTTGTTCTCTTCCACACCAATTTTCCTTCCCTGTTAGACTCTACCAGTTATGCGTGCAGTCAGCCAGTCATTGTATATGCACAGGTCATTGTTTGGCCAGCAATACATTCTGGCATGCCCTATTCTTCCAGAAGTTTTTTTTGGTGCAAAAATAAATGAAATAAACATTATGTATCCCCCTTTGGGTGTCCTGCCAGGAAAAAAAAAAAGGTTGGATGGGGAAAAATTTAGAAAAAATTTTTTATCTAAAATGAGGTTTAGATTGTGTCAGAATCTCATATTTTGTTCTTTTCCTATTATGAAGAAGAAGGAGGAAGAGGAGGAGGAGAAGGAGGAAGAGGAGGAGGAAGAGGAAGGAAGGAAGGAAGGAAGGAAGGAAGAAGAAAAAATTTTAAGTAGCTAGCAGGTGCCGAACACTGTCTTCAGGAATTCAATGAGGAAAAACGATAGAAATCTTAGCCCTCAAGGAGTTCTCAGGCAAACAAGCAAGTCACCTCTAGGTGATGTGTATAGTAAAGTAGCTACCAGTACATGTAGCAGCAAGAAAGATCAACTCACCCTGAGGGCCCTGGGTTGGGGGTCTGGAGGTCAAATCTTTAAGTGTCCAGCTGACAAGAGAGCAGGGTCCTGGGGTCAAGGCCTAGAGTTAGGGAGAATGCAGTAGCAAGGCCTTGTAGGAGCCCAGGTCAAGTACTCACGCCTGGGAACATAGGAACTAGCAACTGTCAAACCGTGTCTTTACATCTCACAATCTTCAGAAAAACTTTGTGAAGGTTTCCACGCTACAGATGAGGACACTTAGTACCTGCTCAGCATCACTTGGCCACCAAGCAGAAGAGCTGTGCCTTCATCCTCAGCCTGTGATCCTTCCTCTACAAAACAAACTTTTGACCAAGAGGCAGAACAGCGGCAAAGGAGCCGTAGAGGGGGGAAAAAATTGTCTCTAATTTTTCATTAAATTCTAGTCGTTTAGGGGAAACACTAATAAGTAATGGAAATTTTAAATGAGAGTGGGAAAAAAAAGGCAATGGACACCTACCTGGAATACTAAAGGAGTTTCGCTCTTTTTCTTTTCTAAAGGCTACAGGCAT